CAGGCACAATGGTTGAGGTTGGAAAGGATCCCTAGAGGTCATCTGGTCTGATACTCCTGCTCAAACAGAGCCACCTAGTGCTGGCTGCTGAGGACCGTGTCCAGATGGCTTTTGAATATCTCTAAGGATGGAGATTCCACAACCTCTCTGGGTCCCCCATGCCAGTGCTCCATTTCCTGATGTTCAGAGGTAATGTCCTGTGCTTCAGTATATACCCATTGCCTCTGGTCCTGTTGCTGGACCACTAAAAAGAGCACAGCTCCATCCTCTTTACACCTTCTCTTCAGGTATTTATAGTATTTATAGACATTGATGAGTTCTCCAAGAGCCTTCTTTCCTCCAGGTTGAACAGTCCCAGCTCTCTGCCTTTCCTCACAGGACAGATATTCCAAGTCCCTTCATCATCTGAATGGTCCTGTGGTGGACCCTCCCCAGTATGTCCATGTCTCTCTTACGTTTAGAGTCCAGAAACTAGACCCAGCACTTCAAGTGTGGCCCCACCAGTGCTGAGCAGACAGGAAGGGGCACTGATCATGTCAAGTGATGTGAATTTAATTCTAGGGGTGAGTGTGCAAGGGCTTGCTGTGGGTGCTGTAAACACACCTATCATGCTGAAAAGATGGCCATTGCAATCAAAGTAGTAGGTCTTTTTTATACATCTGTTCTCCCATTTCAACCAAAATACTTCTGAAAATACTGATATATTAATTGTCCTACACTTTTCCACAATCATTCTGAGTTTTTTTTTTTCTTTTTCCTGTTTCCCTCCATAGTCTTTACAGGACTTTTATGGAAAGGAAATGTGTATCAATGTCTAGAAGAAAGGAAATAGCTGGAACTGACTACAGTATTTAGGAACAATACACATATATTATATAAAGATTGTGATTTCCCTTTCCTAAGATACTTTTGTGAGTGAAGTCAAACACGCGCTGACCTTTTTTGCTGTTACATCACTCAGAAAACACATCTGCTGGGCCCTCTGCAGTCATCACCAATGGAGTTTGTTAGATGGGTTTTTCTAACTCAAGACAATACAATGTACTTTTTCCTTAACCTCATCTAAAAGTGTTTTGCCTGGAAATATTCCTAATAATTCAACCTAAAACAAACACTATAAACAATATTTCAGACTGATAACTGTGCCAAAGTTAATAGCACTATAAAAAAGTTCCCAACACAAGGTGTGAGGAACTTTGCAATCTGCACCATTATCATTCCTATTATAAAAACATTTAATGCATTAGCTGTTTCAGAGCTCTCCAGTCTAGTCTTCTCATCCACATAAAATTAAGGATTATTGAGGGTAACTCTCAGGGCTCCTATTTGTATTATGAACATGTTCAGTGACCAACATCCTAGTCTTTCTGTGCAATTTCACAGATCACCCTCTTAGCCAAGGTTTAAGAAATTAATAGATGTTATGATATCAGCACCTGCTTGACTTTGCTTTTATGTTCAAATACATTCACACTTAAGTATTTTTTTAACCCATAAGTGAAAATACATGGATAAGAAGTCATCTCAGTAAAACACAACTACCTTCCAAAAAGGATGAAACCTCACTGCGCAGCTTCAGTTCTTTCCCTGGTATGGCATATGTTCCTTGATTTACTATACATCTTAGTTTCCATTTAAATTACTTCATATTGGACAAGTGGTGTCCATCAGGGGTCTGTACTGGGACCAGTGCTGTTTAATAACTATATCAATGATGTAGACAGTGGGATTGAGGGCACCCTTAGCAAGTTTGCCAATGACACCAAGCTGACTGGTGAGGTAGGCACACCAGAGACAGGACGTCGTTATCCAGAGAGACCTGGACAAGCTAAAGAAGTGGGTCTGTGTGAACATAATGAGGTTCAACAGGGCCAAGTGCAAGGTCCTGTGCCTGGGTAGAAGCAATCCTCACTATCAATACAGGCTGGGGGATGATGTGATAGAGCAGCCCTGCAGAAAGGGACTTGGGGGTGCTAGTGGACGAAAAGTCAGACATGAGTAAACGATGTGCACTTGCAGCCCAGAGGGCCAATCACACCCTGGGCTGCAACAGAAGTGTGGCCACCAGGTCAAGGAAGGTGATTCTGCCCCTCTACTCCACTCTTGTAAATCCCCACTTGGAGTACTGTGTCCAGTTCTGGAGCCCTTGAGACAAGAGGGACACAGACCTGTTGGAATGAGTCCAGAGAAGCACAAAAGTGATCAGAGGGCTGGAGCACCTCTCCTGTGAAGACAGGCTGAGAGAGCTGGGATTGTTCAGCCTCGAGAGGAGAACACTTCAGGGAAACCTTATAGCAACCTCCCAGTACCTGAAAGGGGCCTACAGGAAAGCTGGGGAGGGACAAGGGTGTCTAGTGATAGGATGAGGGGCAATGGTCTTAAACTAGAGCAGGATAAATTTAGCTTAGACATCAGGAAGAAGTTCTTCATATTGAGGGTGGTGAACAACTGGAACAGGTTACTCAGAGAGGTGGTGGAGGCCCTGTCCCTGGAAACATTCAAGTTCAATCTTGATGAGGCTCTGAGAAGACCTGTCTAGTTAAAAAGGTCCCTGTGCAGTACCAGGAGGACTGGACTAGATGACCTTTAAAGGTTCCTTCCAACCCCCCACATTCTATGATCCAATACAAGACATTCTGCAGCCAGGAAGCACTCTGGATGCTATCTGGCAAAATTCTTTTCTGAAGACAGTCAGAAGAGAGAACTTTCTCTTTGAAAACAAGCTGGATATTTACATGCATTGAGACATCTGAGAACAGGAGAAATTAGAGCTATTTGGGTACGGAAAACCAAATTATGGAAGTGAGTGCATCAAGCTTCAGTGACTGAACTGATCCACTACACTTTCTGCTCAGAGAGGAAGACAGAAGGATCGTAACTCTAATAGAGACTGTGAGGTGGATTTTCATCCCAGAAGAAAGATTACCCCTTTCATTCATGGAGTCCCACAACAGGCTGCACAACCACATTTTACCTGTGCATTCCATAGCTTTTGTCCGTAGGCTTCAAATCAAATGCCTTGTAATACAGTGACCATATGTAAAGTTCAGTTTTAAATCTTTCCTTAATCCCCTTTATGCTGACAGACCAAAACCCAAGTTGAAGTACACAGTGGGAAGGTAACCCCCTCTGTGGAACAGAAGGCAACCCTGATGAACTGCACAAAGCTCTTCAGAGGCTGCATTTCCCCTCCCTCCTGTTCACCACTTGGATTCCTTTGTTTGGTAAAATAGGTCAGTGCTCATAAAAACACCCCTCCAGGGCTGACTGCCTCACATGACCACAGTAGTCAACTATAAGGAACACTAAGGCTAACATGGGAGCATCTGATTTGCACAACTTTCACTAGCCATAGAGAACTGAAATAACACACACAGACCAAACTGTAATGAGAGGGACTACAGGATGAGTCAGAAAAACATGAATTCTTCAGTGATCTCAAAATAGACTGCAACAGACTCTAGGCACATGTAGCTGCACAAAACTGTTGTATTCAGAAAAAGACGAATCCTAGTCAACATAACATAACCTCTACTTCATACTGTAATTCAGTCTGGTTAACAGCTCTGCCCTGTCCTTAACAACCTCTGTAGATATGCAACTCATGGATCTTTTCTTACCTATACTGCTAAGGATGCCAATCATGGTTTTGAAGTGGTCTTCTCTGGAAGAATCTGAGTGCCAGCAATTGCAGTCTTAAAACACAGATCCCTTTCAGAGAAGACAACAGATTTACTTTACTACCCCACCCAGATCCATACTGAAAGATCAAAACAATGTTATGAGACTAGGATCAAGGCCTCACTCCTCCCGTGCCTCCAAAGCAAAGACAAACTCACTATTCAGAGGTAAAACCTAATGCCTGGCTTCAGATCAGAGATGACACTGCAACAGGAAACCTACTAAGTTGAAGATGACAACTGGTGAAAGGAAATTTCTTTCCCAACATTTTTTTTAGTGTTCTTATTGCTTGGGGGAAAAAAAAAAAAAAAAAAAAAGTATCCTGTACCTTTCCCAAACTAAGTCTTTCTATGTTCTAGCACTAGATGTATGATTTGTTCCAAGATTTGAGATACTGAGCCTGGCTCCTCAGTTAAGAGACTGGCAGAACTTAGTAGCCAAGGTATAGTGCCACACAAATCCAACAGCACTGTTCACAAGGCCCACCTCATTAGAGAAGCATGACAACCATTGTTACGCAGCTCACACTAATAAGATACACCAGATCTCTGCTGGCTCTTCACTTTGAAAGGTTATGTATCTCTGTGCTAACATCTCACTTAAAAACTCAGGTTTCAAACTCATCTTTCTGATTTTGAACTGCATTAACTGCATATGTATGCAGTACTGCAGGAAATTTAGTGGGATGTGCTGGAAGTAGACAGACAAGCACCCAAACCAGTTGTGAAGACGACAGTTCTGGTTCGGAAGCATTACCTGGGATCCTCTTTTACTCAAATTATTTTAGCCAATTACTTAGCTGGATTTAAACAACCATCTGTGATGATAATGGAAAAAAGAGTCCAACTGTGAAATACATGAGTTCCACACATAGGCAAGGTTTCTCTGTATCTCTACAGCAAAAGTGGAGTTGTCATTTCAAATGAGATATACAGGAATATCTACCAATACAAAATTTTTATCTTTCATAAAACCAATACTGGGAAGTTCAGTGGAATGATGGAATTAATGTAAAATATAGTATACTGCCTGTTATCACAAACTTCTAGAATCTTTTAATACCAAAGAACTTAGGGTTTAAACTATAGGACACTAGTCAGTTTTCATATGTATCATATGTTAAAAGTGGGAATTATATCAAAGTTTTTACTGTCCTTCAAAAAGGGAAAACAAGTTTTTTTCACAAGTACTGGAAAATGTAAAGTTCAGCAGTTTTACAGACAATTTTTTTGAAAATATAATAGTGGAAAACTACTTCTGCCAAAATACAATGACACATGAGTTCCTCAGGATGTCATCATATCATATCACTACATTACCTTCTGCTTTTGTGTAGATTGAGATGTTTCCATTTACTAAGCCAGCAAACAAGTATCGAGACATATATGTTAAGCTCATAACAGTTGATTTTTCAGGAGTGAAGAAGTGTTGAAGTCGAATTTTCTTTGAGCCTTGACAACTTTTGTAAACTGAAATGCTGCAAAAAGAAGCAAGAAAAAAAAAACCACTGTGAAATTGTTTTATTAAGCTTTTATTAGAATACAAACAAAAGAGGTTTAGAATAAAATATTTGGGGGAAAAATATTTACTACTTCAATTCATAAGAAGATGAATAATGAAAGGAATATCTTAATCCTCAAAAATGTCGATGTAGACAATTTGCAATTACTTAACATTCACATATGACAACACTTTTAATATTTTCTTGCCTGGAGAAACATTTATTCAATGAAGAGACATAACAAAAATTCTGCTCAAAGTCTTTATTATAAGCCTACCAAGAATTTTGTACTAGTTTTCTTAAAAAAAAAATTAAAAATTAGTATTAATTGGAAAACTAAGGAAAAGAGAAAATAAGCTAACTACCAGGCATCCATTACACTCAAAATTCCCATATTCCTACAGATTATTACCATAGGTATGTTAGGAATACTGAATAGTTAAATCTGGAATTAACTGTACTTCAAAAGCAAAGATAATAAGTCTAATTAGATGTTGGAATCTCTGGAAATGCAGAGTTTTCCTTTCAGAATTGTTTTCTTCTTCTTCTTTTATTTTATTAGAAACAGCTTCAAAAATCACATGTACTTACATATTTAAGCCTTCACTAGCTATAACGAGATCTGTTCACTTACTGACCTATACTTTTAGAAAATGTAGCTTTGTTCTTTCATATAAACCAAGTGATGACTCAGTAAGGTCATCAGTTCAAATAGAACAACATCATTCATGGCAATAGTAAACAGCAATACTAGTTATTCGCATGACAAATCCTGCACAACACCACAGTGTTGAAGGTTAATTAGTTCCTCATTAACACTTTGTCATTCTGAAAATTTTCCAATACCTAGGGCTTGTTTTAACATTACAAAAGTAATATTTACATTTGTGTTTTGTTGCAACATTACAAAAGTAATATTTATATTTTTCAGACATGACATATGATGAATTAATCCTCCATCAAATATATGCATTATTTTATTTTCAAATACTACATTGTGTACTTTAAAATAATGTAGAATGTATTTTTTCCTTAGTTTTTGTAGAAAGCAAAAGTTGAGGTCACTAGGATACCACATGGAAACCTTTTTAAAAAGAAAACTTTTTTTTAAGTATCTCACACAATTTTGCTATAGAATAGTAAACCTAATTAATAAATCACACACAGTACACTAAAAATGAGAATCACCTTCCTTCTTCCATGCCAAGGCAAATAGTAGGCACATTAAAGGTTTTTGCAGGAACATTCTCAGGGTCAAGAGCCTTATTTTGCTCTTTCAATCTCTCCTCCTCTGGTATGTAGACCATGCAGAGAATCCGTGATTCCACATTGAAGCACTCGATAACCTTGGGGCTGGAGCTCTGAAATGAGACTATTGCAATCTGGCCCATCTGATTAGTGCAACTGCCAATCTGAATTGGAAAGAAGAAAGAAAAAAAACAAAACAAACAACACAGACCAAGACTGAGATCTGTCTCCAGGAAGATGGGTATTAAACAAGAAGGAATGCCTGGAATGTTAATTGAGGCGTGCACCTGAAGTTATATGGTGAAAGTGAGTTTTCATGTATTAAGTTATGAACAAGAAAATAATTCAGTACAAACCCAAGAGATTTAAAAACATGATATAGATTATATTTCGTTCTATACTCACAAAACTAGTTCATTCTTTTCAAAATAAATAATATTATGGCCTGTTTCAGATGTCTGACTCATTAAAGTAAGTACCTGTGTAATATATTAATTAATAAACAGTGTTTTAAGTTATCTCAGACTCTCTTAAAAGAGACAATAGAGGTAAGGCCTGTCCTTTACACAGTAACAGGTCCCAACAGAAAGGGGGATTATCAATATAATCCCTTTTGTAAACCTACTGATACAGGATCCTAAATTCATAAACTTCTCCCTGATCCAGAACTAAGTATCATAAGTATGTCCATAAATCTGTACATTTTAGTGATCTGGGAAGAGTAAAGAAAAATTATCTGCCCAAGAAACAGTGTTTTTGTATAGTAAGTCTTAGTGTTTATACGAAACGAAAATACATAGCAAAGAGGAAGAAATAATATTTTGTGGCCGTAGAAAGATTTTATTGGCAAATATTTGTGATGACAGTTTACAAATAGCAAAGACAAAAAGAAATTTTATGGGTCACGTTGAAAAAGGCCATTGACAAAAGCTGTTTCTAACTTTTAATTCACAAGAGTTTCCTTAACATTTCAATATTATAGTACAAAGCAAATCTAGTGATATCATCAGCCTTTTTTTAAAAAAATGTGTTGGCTATCTCACTGTTTCCGTTGGAATATCTGCATATTTGCGGTCATAACAATATGCCAGAACAGTTTTGTTTATTTCCTATGCACAAACTTAAGCAGGCTATTTAGAGCTAAAACATTTTAAAAATCATAGAGTATCTTGGGTTGGAAGGGACTTATAAACTTCATCTGGTCCAACTCCTCTACAATAAGCAGGGACATCTCACACTAGAACAGATTGCTCAGAGTCCCATCAAGCCTGACCTTGAATGTCTCCAGGGATGGGGCCTTCACCACCTTTCAAAGAATCACAGAATGGTAGGAGTTGGAAGGGAAATCTGGAGATCAGAGTCCAACTGCCCTGCCAGAGCAGGAGCACCACAGAACCTAGGACAGGTCACTCAGAATCGCATCCAGATGGGTCTTGAATGTCTCCAGAGAAGGAGACTCCACAACCTCTCTGGAGAGCCTGTTCCAGTGCTCTGTAACCCAGAGAGTATAGAAGCTCTTCCTCATGTTGAGGTGGAACTTCCTATGCTCTAGCTCAAATCCACTGCCCCTTGTTCTATCACAGGACACAATTGAAAAGACACTGGCCCCTCCTTCTTGATACCTACCCTTCAGATATTTATATACATTAATAAGATCTCCTCTCAGTCTTCTCTAGATTAAACAGCCCCAGGTCTCCCAGCCTTTCCTCATGAGATGGGTGCTTCAGTCCTTTAATTATCCTTGTAGCCTCCGCTGGACTCTCTCAAGTAAATCCCTGCCCCTTGTGAACTGGGGAGCCCAGAACTGGATACAATAAACAGGTGGGGTCTCACTAGGGCAGAGGAGAGGGGGAGGAGAACCTTCCTCAACCTGCTGCACGCATTCTTCTTAATGCACCCCAGGATACCATTGGCTTTCTTGGCCACAAAGAGCACACTGCTGCCCCATGGATAACTTCTTGTCCACCGGGGCTCCAAGGTCCTTCTCCACAGAGCTGCTTTCTAGCAGGTCAGCTCCTAACCTGTACTGGTGCGTTTTGTTGTTCCTTCCGAAGTGCTTGGTCTCTACCTGTCCTCGTTGAACCTCATTAGGTTCCTTTTTGCCCAGCTCTCCAGTCTGTCCACATCTTGCTGAATGGCCACACAGCCTTCGGGTGTATCAGCCAATCCTCCCAGCTTTGTGACATCAGCAAACTTGCTGAGGACACACTGTCCCCTCTTCCAGGTCATTGATGAAGATGTTGAACATGACTGGACCCAGCACTGACCCCTAGGGGACTCCACTAGTTACAGGTCTCCAGCTGGACTCTGCACCATTGATCACCACCCTCTGGGCTCTATTGTTTAGCCTGTTCTTAATCCATCTCACTGTCCATTCTTCTACTCCACACTTCCTGAGCTTGCTCACAAGGACGTTACGGGAGACACTCAATAGGACAGTGTGAGCTCATTTGGGTTTTAGCAGTCCGCATTATAAATTAGCACATAACTCACTTCTGAATGGAATCCACACTTTGAAATTCATTTTGTGCTGCACTAACAAACCATTAGTGCCTACAGAGACCAGCAAGATCACATGGACAAAATTACTAGGTATCCTTTACAGAAGTCCATCTTCAAACAAACAAACAAAAAAATGAGAGGAAAAAAAGAATCCCAAATTTATTTCATATCTATATGTTGCTAAGAGACACAAAAAACGATGCAGGGAAAAAGGAAACATTCCCTTTTTAAAGATTACACTTACCCAAAGAAAACCATGTTCTATGGCACAGGAATCTGACTCGGTTTCACCAGAGAGGTATGGTTCAGGGTTATAAGCAGCACATTCAATCTTCAAAGGAAAGAAGAGCAGTCACCACATTAGAAATATGCCTGTTTCTGGTTAATTTCATCTGTAATTACCTAAAGTATTTACAGATATCAAAGAATCATGGAAAGCAAGAAGTCAGTTTAGTATATTCAGCTTCCTGTGAGCAGGGTCAGCTGCACTTGTGTTGTTCCTGACACAGTCCTTATTTATTCTTACAGACGTTAAAAACTGGAGAATACAAGTTGTCTAGCTGATCTGCTCAGATACATCATGACCTTCATTAAGTTTTTCCAAATACCCAACATAATATCATCCTTGCTGTAATCATTAGTCTGTTACTTCTCACCTCAGCCGCCAGGTACTTACTTCCCTTCTGCAGTGTCCTTTTACATATAAGGCTGATATACATCATAACCCTGCTCAAGTCTTTTCTTCATCAGGCTAAATTATCACTTAATCACAGATTGACAGAATCTTAGGTGTTGGAAGGGACCTCCAAAGAGCACCGGGTCCAACCCCCAAATTAAGTTTAATTAATTCATCATTTAAGTTTAAAAATTGCAAATGTATTTTATTTTCTTTTTATTCTTAACTTTAAAATTATTTATTATCGCTTTTTCAACTGGCATCTCTTCAGCAGATATATCAGCTCTATATATTTGAGATTGCACAACTTTCTCACCTGAACAGGCAGTTCTGGCAGAGCTGTTAGTAGCACCACATCACAATTATCTCTTCTGAAGCCTGTACATACACATCCCATTGATTATTTGCTCTTTGTAATAGTATTAAATTCTTCAGCAATCCTTAGCTTGCTGGTCTGTTACAAATTATTTTTACAGACGTTCTATTCAACCACCTCCTAAATCTGCACTTACAAAGCTCTTTATTTCTGCCTGAGAGCATCCTACATGTCTGTCCTGCTGACTGTCATCCCCTTTTTTTTTCTTTTTTTCCCCCCTCCATTATTTCTTGATATGCTCTGTAATTTAGAATGCTGATGCTATCATCCATAATACTTCTGCCCCCCCTCCCAAGTTCATGTCATCATGTTACTGTCAGTAAACCCGATTTTATTATGGAGGCCATTTAAGAAAAAACTGAACACCAGACTCAAGATGGATATTTTAATCCCTCCCAACTTTGAAAGTCATTCAAGCACCAAGGCTCTGAAAATAGGTATTTTTATGAGCAGTCATGGATTTCTGTTTTCTCTAATTTCCCTAATATCCATCTCAGAGCTCCCTAACACTTATGCAAATGCTTTAAAATGTATAAAAGCATTCATAATCATGTAGAGAATTAAAAGGTTTCTGATGAGGTATGATACTACGCTTTTAGACAAGATTGTCAATGATTCACACTAATGTTCTCACCTCAGACATCAATGTAATTTAGATTATTCTGCAGCATTAGAGACAATTTGGTTAGTATTAACTTAAACAACTTCACCATAACCTGGCAACATCACCTCCCAACAGTGTATAATTAAAAAAAAAAAAAAAGGAAATCAGTGGGCATAGACAAAGAGTCATACAAGGAACTTCACAAATCCTTCTGAAGTAAGCAGACATCAATAAGTAATTAGCAGTAGTAAAAATTATGTTATGTATTCACCAAAGGATAAAAGACAGAAACTGACAGGTGAGAAAAATTAGAAAGAAAAAAGAGTTATCCATGCCAATCTTAAGATGTCTCATTTAACACACACTGAAGCAATGTACTTGTAGTGGTGATTTACCGTAGCTGTGACAGCTAAACACATCACTAGTTAAAGAAAAGACAGCCTTCATGCTGGGTATTTCTTGGGCTGCTTGTTACATCTCTGTGATACTTTGCATCTTGGTCAAAACCAATGATGTTTTTCCATAGTTAAGCCCTGGTAGTTGCACTCTCAATCTTGACAGAAGCCCTTAGCCTGGGGTGTAAAGTTTGTTAAACTTTGTAAAAAGTTGTTACAGCCTCCCTGCACCACTAAGCATTGTAAGCAGCACACAGAGAGATAACAAGCAGGATCAGCCAAGCAAAGGGTCTCTTCCCACCCCAAGCTGTGGCCTGACACCCAAACTACAGCTGAGGCTGCAGAAAACCACCAATAGCACTTGGATAATCTTTTCCAGTAATACCTGGGGAAAAAATATGACTACTTAGGAGCATTAGGCATGACAGATTTGCTCACATCCACATTATATTTAGGAGCTGCAAAACTGGAAAAGTTGATCCACAGCTCAGGCAAATACTGCCACACACTAGTTTCCTGAGATGACCAAGGCAAAGATCATCACTCAACTGTAGGGGCAAGAGATTCCTTTCAAAACAAGTAGAGCCTGTTGTCACTTGGTAACAGGAAGTGAGCCTGGGCCTTCAAGGCTCCTGGCATGGACCTACATGGCACTTAGGCTCAAAGGAAACAGAAATACTTTTAAGTTTCAGCAAAAATTAAATTAGTTATTTCATCGCTAATGACTTTAGAAAGTATTCAATACTGCAGTATTTTGCATTCCTGTGACCCTCTTGCACCTTCCATTACTACTGGTCTTACACCAAGGTAGTAACTCAAGAGAACTAAGAGTTGTGAATGTATAGATGTATTTACAATCCAGTATTCTTTAGTAGTTACATCACACAAGAAAAGCAACAGCAATATAAAATAAAAATTCTGTTCACCTTAAACTCCTGTTGCTTGGCCATCATCACTGCCATGTGTCTAACAAGGAGAGGATGTTTCTCCCTTTTTATTTGATTCCCATCATCTTCTACACAGAACCAACCTAACAGATTATCCTCCGCTGTAATGGAAAGAATAAACAACAAACATCTCACAGTACTGTCACTGAATAATCACTTGCACCTCTCTACAGGAATAGAGAAGAATTATGTTAGGATTGGTTAAATACTGACCAGGCTGTTCTTATGCCATATACACACAAATGGCAATGTAAAACTATGAGTACAACTTCCATATAGTTGATTACATACATATTGATAATGCAAAAAAACCCACAACAATCAACCAAAAAACACCGAACAACAAAAAAACAAACCACCTTACACTAGCTAAATATTAAGGGTGTTCTCTTAATGATCTTGTTAGCAGGTTAGTGAAAGATGGAAAGGCACATTAAACCTCTCCTCAGATTCAAGGACATCTGTTCTGCAAATAGTGTTTCTCTGCCTGTGTAAGTGACATCACTATCAACTACTACTTATCATAAGGATCCTCCTCCTGGAATGATGGAGACATACATTATGGGGTTTTTTGTCTGTTTGTTATTTTGGCTGCCTTCAGTGAGATACCATAAAAGCATTGTATTTTAAGGATGTGCTAGTAAAACTTACTTTCTACCAAGTGCATATCTCCTCAGTGTTTCTCAGCTCAGGGTATCTCTGGAAATCCTTGGTACCTCTGGAAAACTATACCCTCTGTGCAAAATCAGTAGACTAATAACATTACAGGATAGCACTTCCTTTACTGCTCCCATCTAGATCAAGTTTGTCTGTGATAATCTCTCAAGTGAAGATGATGACTTATGTTTAAAGAAACCTCCCCCCAAAATACTTGGGTTTTACATATCCTACTATAGAAATATTGCACTATATTTAAACTATACACATAAGTTTATTTCATACTCAGAAAGCTAAACAAATGGACCCAACTGCTTTATTGATACTTTTGAGCTAAAACTGGGACCTTTCAACCTGAAGTTTTAGGTTTAAAAAGTTTGTAAGATCTGAATTACTAAGTTCATAATGAAATAACTTCCTCGTCTTTCTTATAGTGTATCTCATTCTTGTTGATTATATAAAATAATTAATGATTACCACAGACTGCATTGAAATACTGTAGAAATGTTATTACTTCATAATGAAATGCCCCATCCTATCTATAACGTCATTACCTCATCGTAATACACAATCACTACTGTACTGCAATTTTAACATCTGCAAATGAATTTTCACCAAAAATAGTTTCTAAAAAATAAAAAGTAAAAAAAATTACACTATATCAAGACCTGTCTTTAACTTGACAGGAAATTAAGTAACTAAGAATTACCAAGAGCCAGTTTAGCCATTTGTAAGTTGTTGATCCAAGACTGTTTGATGGCAGGGGTAAATGTATTGAACACAGCTGTAAAGAATGTGGGCCGCCCAGACCTGCAAGACACACAAAAGAAAACCCTGCTCTGAACACACTGAGTATAAGATACAGTGAGGGCTAAAAATGTTGAGCAAGATGAAATTGTATTGTTTTCTAATACTTAGACAAAGACACAGCTCTGATATAAGCATGCAAGCTATGATGTGCCATATGTCCCTCTCCCTACACTTTACATGAAATGGTATGAGAACAACATCCTCCTTGCTGAAGGAATAGAACAGTGACTGCTCTACATTAGCTGTCACTGCCATGGTTCCTCTCTTGCTTCTTGCATCTGGAATGCAGGGTTAAGCAACAGGAGGAGAACACTACTAGAACATGCAGGTTCCCAGTGTTGTGAGATGAGAGCAGAAGTCAGAGGCTAACTGCAGACACAGTAGAGAGGGAAGAACTACAGATTCCCAAATCCTCCTGGGTACATCTACGCCTAATATATAAGCCCATTTAGAAAGTTTTGTAATCAAGATTACTACTGACTTGTCCTGTTTTCCTGGGAGTTGCAGCTGAATTCTACAGCGATCTGCCGCTCTGATTTCATCTTCTTTTTTCAAAATCAGTTTTTGTAAACCTGAGGTCCAGTCATGGGCTACAGATTGGTTTAAATTCTGAAAAATTAAAAAAGCTAAGATTCAATGCCAGCCTACTGGCCTATTTCCAACAGGCTAACTAAGGCCATATGTGCAAATAACAAATAATTCATGGTACCTGGGCCTCATTTAGCCCACATTTTAATAATCATTAACTTAGCTGTATTTGTAAACACATTTCAAAAATAGCTGTAAAAAACTTGATAACATATTGTATCTGATTATTAGATCTCACATTGCCTAAAGTTTGATGACACACAAATTATACTCCCAGGCATTTCTCAGATTAGGAAATGTAAATTTGCATCAGGTGTACACATAACCCTTTTACTTATAGAACCCACAAATTCTGTTTCTAAAGAAAATCCCACAATAGCATCTACAAATCATATTGCCAATATGCTTTCGTTCAAATTTTTGAGTCAAAACTTCTGCAGAGCCAGCATGAAAGCTGCCCATGTGGTTGGGATCTGTTTAAATAGGATGCTGAAACAGTAACACTCTGCAAGCAGAGTACCCAATCACAGAGGACAAAAGCCCACCTGAGTGACAATAGCATCAATAGTAATGAGTATTCATACACAAAAGTACACTAATTTTCCACAGAGTTTTATGATAATTGAAGTTGTTCTCAACATCTCTATCTGTAAACATTGACTAAATTTTAAGTTTTCAAAACGTAGTTGGCTCTGACTGCAAGTACAGACAGAAAGGCTTTGTGTATGTGAATGTCCTATGGTACCTGTGCTATAGATATTCCCAGTAACGCAGCTGAAATTCACCTTCAAATATTTGTGAAATTTTGTCCACAAGTAGTGTTTCCATAAACTTCCTTCACAGCACGTATTTTCACAAAAAAGTTATGCTTTATTTAATGCCCTTGACTCTGAAGGCAAGATCTACCAAGATAAATTCATCTTTCATATATATATTCACACACACACAGATTTGTAGCTTGTGGTGGCAGGTAGAAGTTTAAAGTTGTGCCCAAGCATATATAAAGCATATAAAACAAAAGGCAAAAAAAAAAGTATTTCAAGTCTTAAGACTGTGGGGAACTCATTCTGAAATTCAGTGTTAAAGTGCTACCTCCTTGCCAGAATATAAACTAAAAAAAGGGATATGAACAAAGTCAAAGCAAAATTACTTTCAAAATGCCTTTGAAAATCTTTTTATATTTTTCTGATTTGCACTTAGTTTTAAGTACAGGTCCCCCTGAAAGCCAGGATTATGAGCCTGGATGGGCATTAAGAGCTTCCTCCAAACAACCATCCTCCTACTACCTTGTTCAACTGCAAGAATCCAAATTCTTAAGATCAAAATGTAATTCTGTTTCCATATAAGCTTATCAGCTATTGACCAAATGCAGACACTTGTAGTATCCAACTACATTTCAAGACAGCAAAGAAAAAAAAGATCAGAAAGACAGCTGTAATCTACTTAAAATGTTAAACAATTAACTGTAAATTAATTACTGGAGGTAAAAATTTTACACACTTTACAGAGAGAAATAAAGAATGTCTTCCACAGATCCTACAGAGAGACAATTATGCAAGGACATATTTTAAAAGTAAACATAGCTTTGTTTATTTATTATTGTTATTTTTTATTACCTGATAGTTTCCTTTAAGGTTGCCTATTAATTGACTAATTTGACCAACTACATTCAAGTCATGTAAAAGGTTCTGCAGATCATGGTACAGTTGCCCTGGTCCCATATAGAGCCTGTCTAAAATGAATAAAAACATCAGGTTATGTATAATAAAAAGACATAATTTTCAGTTGAAGGAGGAAAGCATAACAAAGATAATAATATTAACATACACCACTATTTTGACCACTGAAAACTAAGCTTTTCAAAGTTGCTGGTATTCTCTCTAGCCTGTAAAAACAACTAATGCACCAATGTGCAGCTAGGGTCCTCATTACTCTGAAAACCAGAGTGGTTTATTTATACATATATCATGGATATTTCATTTCACTGCTCCAGGTGCTTTTCATGTTCTTGCAGACAGACAGTTGTGCAACACATCCCAGGAAATTACAGCTTGTAGTACGTTATTGTGTATTATTAGCTTTGCATTTACACGTGTTACCACAGGCATTGCCTTTTAGCTCACCCTATAATTGCCCTTTACAGCTTAAATTAAGATTCAAGTTTGTTCATCGAATGTGAGGGAGAGCAGTATGTACTGTTTTAATAAAGACACACTAGAACTGTGACAAACATTGAAGCTTCACTAGTCCCAAAATTTCTTGCTGCCATGGAAGTTTTGCCTAGCACCAAGCAGCAGACTTGGTATTACATCTTTAAACATACTTCCTGAAGGTTGCTGTTGGTTAAATGAAGCAGCCAAAAATGTATTTGTAGCCTTCACTATTGTATTTTAAAAATCAGAATTTGTTTAATCAATTGCAAGACAGTTCTGGATCATATATATCCACATTGTAACTCTAAAACAAGCCTTCAATTTCACCAAACCACTGAAAATTCTATTGCAATCACGGTTAAGTGAAAAAAGGATCTGCACTGAGATCAGCAACAAATCTTAACAGCAGCAGAAATATTTTGCCCTAACTATCAATAGGACCATGTGTTTATAAGATGATACTAGCTCATAAATATTTTCAGACTAGCAGGATAAGCTGTCTATTTAAATGCACAAAGCTTGCAGAACCCTGCTAATATACTCTGGCTCCTAGACAAGATGTTAGAAGCGAGATGGTTATGTAACTCTTGCAGAAACACCACTGCCCTTCTCCCCAACTCCCTTTTGCCCTCTCCTACCCCGACTCATTCAAGTCAGCATGTTTCCCTTTGGCTGAATGACAGGAACCAAGGCTGGATTATCTTTCCAGGACGTCTCTGCAGATTAGTTAGCTCACATGGCATACTATCCAAACTATGGATCCTTGATCCTCACCACAACTTTGGAACCTAATGTGTGGGCAGCAAAATACCCTGCAGCAGAAGGATTTCAACCCTGTGTTGGCAAGAACAGGAACAAAACAAAGTGTTAGCTACCCGCTCTGCGGACCCATCAGGAGCAAGGACACAAGCCATGTCACCTGGTCTGGCTGCCAGGGCAGTTGGGTGCTGGACACAGCACAGCTGCCACCGAGACACTGCCAGCACCTTTAATCCTCACATCTGCTACAGTCACCAGTGTTTAAACCAAAATTCATCAAACCAAAGCTATAAAAATAGCATAAGCCAGAATAAACATGACAAATAAACACAAATGAGACAATGCTTCTTAAATAATTAGTATATTCTCTGCTGTGTATCAAAATAATTACATTTTCTAACAATACTTTCCTATCTGGACACATCACAGAGATTGAGGCCATCACTGGATGTTTTTCCTTAATGTATTCACTATATTAAGCTACAATGAAGAGTATAAAATTTCAAGGCTCAATGAACATGGTAAGGGTTATTTTATCTCTGACTTCTCCATTTCATTGCATGAAAATGCAACATAAATCTGAGACATGACACATTCCTATAAAATTTCAAATTACTCTCTTGCCTTTAAACCTTCTGCTAAATTGAATAAAATGAAAGGATTTCTTTATATTGCCCTTAAGCACTAAACAGAGGAATGACTACACTTACTACCATTAACACAGTGAGAGAACAGATGCAACTTTCATCCAACACTTCTTTGCCTGTTCTGAATGTTAATTAAAAGAACAGTCCAGGCTTTCTTACCCTTAAAAGCAGTCCATAAGAAAAGATCATTACATTTATTGTACACAATGAAAAGAAATTACTGCAAAGTAGATCTAAGAGGAAGAGTTTTCAGATTACTATCAGTAGAGTATTTTTGCAAATTAGTCTAAAAGGAAATTAAACACTTTTCTTCTTCAGCTGCAAAATCAACATCTGAAAGTTGTAAACACTTCTTGTATCACTCTTCTGCTAGCTTACACCTTTTTTTCTTACTAATGTCTACAATAATTGTAATTTGCTAAGCACCAGAATAGCTGGCTCCAAAACACATACAATGGTCTGGGTTGGAAAGGGCCTTAAAGATCATATAGTTCCAACCCCACTGCCTTAATAGCAGTAATGCCTTCCACTAGAACAGCTTGCTCAAAGCCCCATTCAAACCTGGCCCTCAACACTTCCAGGGAGGGTACATCCACAAGTTCTCTGGGCAGCCTGTGTCAGTGTCTCACCACCTTCACAGTAAAAAAATTACTCCTAATATCTAATCTAACTCTATCCTCTTGCAGCTTAAAACTGTTCTCCCCCATCGTATCACTACAAGCCCTTGTAAAAAGTCTCTCTCCAGCTTTTCTGTGGGCCTCCTTCAAGTACTGAAAAGCCACTATAAGGTCTCCCTGAAGTCTTCTTTTCTCCAGGCTGAACAACCTCAGCTCTCTCAGCCTGTCTTCAGAGGGCTCCAGCCTTCTGATCATCGAACTGTTGTTTTCAATGGGGCTACTTGCAAAGATAGGGGTGAGTCAGTGTCAACAGAAGTCTGGTGAAATCTAGCCAAAAGCCATGATAACAAGTTTGGCAATGTAAAGAACGCAAAAAATTCTTCCCCCAAATTTCTGTAATAAAAAGATAACCTTTGAAGAGTTATTAGGTATTTTATTATTGAAAACAGGTTAGAGAATGGACACTAACTTGCAACATCTAACAGCAAGCATTAGACACTGTAGGACTTCATGCCATGGTCTTCAAATGAGACCACAAAGAAAGCTTTAACTACTTAACAGAGATGGACTTGCCCTGTGCAGTATATACATCCACTATGCCTGAAAAGAGCTGCCCTCTACAATCCTCTTCCCTGAAGCTTCAAGTACTCTTACAAATATCCTTGTTCCAGCCTTGGGAGTAAGGCATAGATCTTGAATTCCATTCAGTAATTGTCATCTGAGCCTATTTTCTCTGCACCATGCATATTTTATAAGCTTTTAAGAAGTCAAGATAAAAAGGATGCAAAAAGAATGTCAAAACAAATAAACTAACCTGACATTTGAAATTCTGACACAGAGAAAAACCAAAGGGGAATCATTTTAGGCTCATTTATTAAAGACCACATTCTTAGCACAGGAAAGGAAGCAAAAAAGCAAGTCAATAAATTATGAAAGAGGCCTGCTTCCATTCTCAGACATTCTAGAAAAGACAAATGGCCAAATTAGTAAGAAATGTTGATAGTCAATCAAGAACTAGATCAATAGCCACAGCTAACATAATTTTTTCATGGAGATCCTTACTGGGCCCAAACTGGCATACAGAAAAATAAATTAGCTTCAAAGAAAAGCAATGCTGGAGCCATCAGAAGAGAGTTCTCTGAGAACTGACCACTTGGTTCATGTCTGGACAACAAGTTACAAGATAGAGCAACTTCATCTCTGAAGTGGGGTCTGTAAGGGTTACTTATAATGACTTAAAATAGGACTAGCTTCTCACTGGTTAACAACATGCTGGCTACCAGTTGATCCAGCTGAGAGTTGTCTGACAGAGGGTTGCTCTTGGTTGAGGGGGCAAACTAGTCTGTTAATCAGATGTGTTTCTCGGTTCAGAGCCAAAGACTGTCTGCTTCAGCCCACACATGTTCCCTGACCATTTGACTGCTGCCTATTTTGAGGTGGGTGTGCACGCTTTCTTTTTTTCTCCAGAAAGCACTGAAAAGATCTTGGCTTCACTCCAAAGTTGATACATGGCTAGATTCTTTTTGTACTTTGAAACGTTTCACAAATGATAAAACCATTTCCTTCCCCTTTCTAAGCCACTCTTGCTAATTATCAAGCTCCAAACCAACTTATTTTTCTAAAGTGAAAAAAATCCCTCCCAGCTTTACACATCCTACACATTACAGAGGACAGTGCACTGGGCAGGAGAGAAGGCAGTGTGCTGTAACTGATAATCATTTACGTGACTTTTTTGCATTCCACCTACTGATCAAGGATGATATCTTGGCCACGGGCAAGTTTGCAGGGATTTTTTTCATCAACTCCTTCGTTGCTAAGATTTTACCAGAAGTATTTGTGGCACCCTGCAACAAGCAAGTTTACTGCCAACAACCAGTAATTCATGCAAAATACACAATTCCTTGCTCTGAATTATTATGAAATAGATTCAAGCCTAAAAAAGAAAACAATACTGCCACTTCCTTTAGCAGGAGAGGAGGTTAAAGTTTAAATTGGTATTTGCTACTATGTAAACTTGGAGAGGGAAGATTCTGCTTTTCTGTAACAATTCCTCCTTAGCCAAGATATACTTGAGTATAATACTAAAAACTTATTTTACCTGCTCATTTCCCAGTGTTCCACTCAGCACCACAGCTTTAAATTCACCAGTTTTTCCTGGTTTAAAGTAATTCTTACAACTGAAACAGAAGTAATTTTAGCCCATTTACATCCAGGCGTTTACAAAGCCTGTAGAAAACTCCCTGATTTGGAAGGTGGTGCATAAATAGACACACATAGACATAAATACAAGAGAAGTATGTGTGCTAAGTGCTTGGGTGGGGCCAAGGAGGAGAACGCGCTCCCACCTCTGGCAACAGGCAGCTTTGCTAGGGCACGGAACCAGCAGCTGCAGCTCTTTCCCAGCACAGCCAGCACAGCAGCAGCTGCTTTAATGGGCACTGGCACTGTTGCTCCCCTGGGATCACTGTCTATCCAGTTCCTCTAAATTTTCAGTTTCCAAGGGCCCTGCAAGCATATCAAATATTGTAATCCTGAACTGATCACAACCTACATTCT